TTTCCCTTGACTTTCCTCCTGTCCCACTATCATGCTCAGTCCCCACCAGGGTTTCAGAAATTCCTCTTTGTTACATTACGCTTGATCACAGGTAAGGTTTTTAAATACCTACTCCAACTCTTGACGTCTCCTTTGAACGGGAGCTGTAAGGACAGATGGTCGCCTATTTGTTGCAGTGGGTCTTGAGGGATGGTTCGCAGACCTGGAGAACTCAGCTAAGGTCTGGTACAGGAATGGCAGATTTTTATGGAAGGGAAAGCATCAAGGCAAATTTCACATCCACTTCTGAGCATTCAATAAAAAGGCAACTAAAAAACTGCACACACTCAAATCCCTTCTGCCAAATTAGGACCTCAATGATAATAGGCTAAAATTAGTCCCCAGTTCAGAATTGGGGGACAATCTTAAATACAAATATATGCATATGTATGTGTGCACTCAAGTCAAAAGGATGTCATATGTACATTGTTCTTCTTTGAATTATCAGTTCCTTATAATCATGAGTTAACTGGGTTCCTTATAGGACACGTTTGTTTTTCATATGCAATATTCCTAGCAATCAAAATGATAACAAAGATATAAATTGGCTTTCATAATCTTAGCTTGTCTCTTCTTTTCATGTTAAATGTCAGCAAAATCATAATATTGATTCGGTGGCATTAAAATGATTTCCATGGTAACCAGCTTCTATTTAAGTCAGGGATTATGACTTCCTGTGGATAGGAGTAAAAAGAACTGGACTTTTTGAAATTTGGCTTTTCCGAGTAGAGAAAAAAAAGTAGCTTAATGATGAACATTGCAAGAAAGATCACATACAAAGAGAAGTATAATTTAGGTTTAAAAATTGTAATTCTGTCATATGAAAAAGCTAGGCATTTACATTTCTATTTCAGGATATTACACAATAGTAACACCTTAAAAAACATTCATACAGTAGAAAACATAAACTGGCAATAAGTAGGCTTAATATTTATAAATATTTTAATAACGCCTTTCTATTGCCTCGGTTTGTTCCCTGCTTCTTTTGAAGAAAGATTAGATGGAATGAAAGGAGAAAATCAGAAAGAATAAGAGGCGTTCTACAGGCTGTGCTTATGTGATGGGGCAGGCACCCTACAACCATACTGCGGAGGTAAATGCGAACTGCAAGCCCGCCAGCCCCATCACTCAGGGGAGCATGCATTCCACTCCTCAGCAATGAGATTATGAGAGGTGCTGGCAGAAGAATGCAGTCCGAAGAGTGAGTTCTTAGGTCCTGTGAATGCAACTTCCACTTCT